CTGATAAAGAGACACCTACAGGCCTGCTCATATCAGCTGAGTGCACTTGATGTTGCTTTTCTAATACTAACAAGGCTGCAGAATACAAACCTGGGGTGGAATACAATACAATTTTTAACAGCAATGAAAATGTTTGCCTGGAGAAAAAAAACCCCATGACATCAACAAGAGGAAGGTTGTTCACAATGACTACAATAAAAATGGGCCACAGCCTAGTTTTCTTCATCGTGTCTCATATTTTGTCTGCTTTCTGCGGATGTCATCATCTGTCCTGTCACGTATGACCTTTTGAGAGACTTAAGACGGTTTTCTATGTCAAAGTTAAATAGTTCAGTCTTCAATCTTAGTTGAATTGGTGAATAGAAATTCATGACATGAGTGATTACATTCATGAGAATGTATCTTGTTCTACATAATGCTTCTCAGAAAGGGAGAGGCTTTAGTTTAGAGGCTAGAGAGAACATTTCGATACATGTATAATAGATATGGCTACTTTCATTGTGTACCAGTTTTTATAGTTTTGACAAGCAGCAGTATACTCACGCAAGGCAGAAAGTGTCAGAGAGAAAACATAAAAACAGTTTGTGGTCAACTGCAGAGAAAAAAACTCTAAATTACATTACATATAGATTCACATTTCCAACACAAGCACTTGATGTCCATAGCTGTTTGATGTTTGATACAGTGAGTGGGTGTCAACAATTAGGATGGGTTGACATTTATGAGTGTCTTTGCTGTCAGCGTTTGAGAAAGCAAATCGAGTGCTGTCCTTTAAACATCAAATATAACATTATGACTGACAAGGAAATAAGTGGACTGTGGTTTTGACATGTCAGTTAGTAATACACAGCATCCTGCTGCTTTCTTCAGAACAGATGGTTTACAGGACATAAAATGACATTTCCTCTCTGTGTGATTAACAGCAGAGAGTGGAACGAGGCATTAATGGGATTCTCTGCTCCTGAGATAAAGGACAGGCGGATTTTCAGCTTCCTGTGAGAAATGAATTGGCTTCATGCATTAGGACGTGAGAGGAACTAAGTACTGGACAGTTAGAGGAGAAGTAAGTAAAAAGATTATAAAATCATCTCCCAAACAACTGTCCTCGGCCTCTCCCCATCCATTCATTTCTGGGTATACGCTCTGCTAACCCTGAAAAGAGATTATGCCGTAGAATAATTACAGTGTATTCAACAAGTTTCCAATCTCAGGAGACAGTGGAGGGAAAAGTAAAACTAGAAAAGGGAGTGAAAATTTGGAAGAAAGGGTTTGCAAATTTTGTACAAGTATAATCAGGAATTCACACATTTGCAAGCATTGAAATTTATTTTGAAAATGTCCTGGGTTCAGCACAACATGGTTTCTCCTTATACAAGCCTGCCTATTTAGTCAGCAATAATTTAGCCTCTACTTCTCCACATCAGTCACTTAGAAGATTTTTTAGGTGAAATGAAGTCCCATGTTCTGTACAGATATATAAGAAAACATGAGTTAGTTATAGAGGGAGTTATAAACTGTCCCTCTTGTTCACACAAGCAGAAGCATCACTTCAGATTGAATTTTTGTTCAGTTTTTTTTCTTTGAAATGCTTATTCATCCAAGCATGAAGAACTGTGGCCTGTCAGGTGTCATCTGTGTCCTAAAACCCATTCATCCGTGGATTCGTCAAGACATTTTTTCACAGTTTGCTTTCACCATCCCAAAAAAAGTGCTCATCCTCGACACAGCTCATATTCCTCAGCGAGAACCGCGAAAGCTCTGGTGATCACTGTACAGAAGCCTCCACAAAGCAAATGAAGATGAAATGAAATACACCAAAGCTAAATGCTGCACAGAAAAGAAGAATTACTTTCTTATACAACATTTGGGCTGCAGTCTATTTAAAAACTCCAGGTCGCAATTTGACATCCCAATACAGGAAGATATTTACTCCCAGTTGGTTTGGCTGTCGAAGGTAAAAATGTAGTTAATATTAGTTTTTTTGCATCAAAAATGTTTTAAAAGGACAAAAAGAAAAAAAACACTACAGCCTGCATCTGAAAAAAGAGGCATCCATTTACAGGAAGAATAAACTTGATCTGACCCAAAATCTCATCTGACATTGGAGTGGTAGAGTTCATGATCTGCAGCAGTGAAGGTGCAACTTTGTGTTACGTAATGAATATCAGGACAGGGATGAGAAACTGAATCACTTCATCTTTGCGTTGGTTGCATAACTTGTCACTAAGGCCAGAAAGTTAGATGTGATGAAAGCAGTGAAGACATAGAAGAATGAAAATACAGGAATTTGTTGCAACGACATCAAGTCAAGTAGATGTGTGCACCACATAATAAGATGGATATCTTTTAAATTACTATGATCATCCACAAAAAGATTATATAAACCAGTGGTTTTTGGAGGCGTTAAACCAAACATGGACAGAAAACTTAATCTGAATAGAAAGCGAGCAAACAGGAGGCCAAAAAATATTAGAAACACTTTTACAAGTTGACACTTAAATTTAGTTTCTCCCTAGTTGATTCTGGTCTGAGCCAGCAGACCACATGTTTTAGTAACTGACAGTCTTATCCCAGGTATTCCAAGATATTGAAAGTAATTTAAGATCCCTCAATTTTCTTTCTGAATATGTTTTCCCCTCTTGTTTCAAGCTAAGAAGTCTTCTTGGGCTTTGAGCTCCTCCTGAATCTCCCCATACTGTGTTTTTTCTGTTCAAACAAGTCAGTTGAAATAAGCCTGATTCAAATTTCCTTGATATAGTTTTCAAGAATTTTGTTCCAGGCCTTGTTTCATGGGTGGATGAAAAAATGACTGGGGGCTCTAATGTCAAAGCTGTTTGAATGTACAGAAACATTCATAGTATACAGCAGCTAGTGACACTGTGTCACACAGAATATGTGCTGCAATGTCTTATAAGGTACTAACCTTTGGTTTAGCATTGGATTCCCAGTGCTGGAGTTATCATAACATTTATGCCTATATGTTGTCCATCACTTGCAACTTGATTTGAGTGACAAGCAGCAGCTGGATGATGCTAATTTTGATATAAGAAATAATATTCTTTGCAAAGAAAGAAAGCATTGACTTTTTAATTAAGTGGTCCAACATGGTCCTGTTACATAAAGAAAATATGTGTCAAACAAATACATCCAGGAGATAAATACGGGCGGCATTTACATTTTCAAGAGAATGGAATTGTGCGAGTATTTTATGTTGCTGTTAATCCAGTTTTCATGATAATCTTTAGAACCCTTGGAAAAAATCAAGCTTGTTTGACCACATCTTTAAAATGCTCTTTCAATTTTCACCATGTTGTCTTGAGTCGTGTTTTGCCCAGTGTTTTTCTGCTTTGCGCTTCAGCGCACCAGTTAGCAGGCACCGGTGCAGACCTCACACGAACATGAAGCAATACAGCCAGAGACAAAATAAGTCACGTACACTCCACCAGCCAACACTCGGATGAAACTTTTCTTTAAATTAAACATTTTATTATGGTCAAAGAAAAAACATGTAAATGTATGCTCACACAACTGTTCAGAAGTCATCTGTTTATGAGAGATGCTAATAAACGTCAACAAGTGTATTGCAGTTTAGAGAGAAAATTCCAGTAAAGAAAAATGAAAAGCTTACCTAAATTAAAAAAAAAAGAATAGTGTAAGAGAAAAGCTTGCTCTCACAGAAACTAAAATGAACACTGCATAAAGACCTCAGTAGGCTGAGTCAAGTCTGTTTATATGGGGTTTGTGCAACGACCCCCTAAGTGCAAGAGGTGCAAACTCTGAGCTGTCTGAGATGCACTGCTATCACTGACATTGATTAACAATGGAGTATCAAGTCAAACAACTCTTACTTCAAACACATGGACAAACTAAATATGTCTTACTATTTACATTAGGAAAAAGATAATGGGACCCCATTAAAAAATAAACTTGTGCACTGAATGCCAATTTCTGAAAGCGCATACAGCAGTCCTCTAAGGTGCAGCAGTGATTAAGATATACTTTTCTAAAATATGCCAGTGAGCTCACATGCTCGGATTTCTGTCTTAGATTATAGTCGAGCTTTAAGAAACCATGATAAGCAACAAGTACACAAATCGATAAATGCACAAGAAAAAAAAACACATCATGAAAAATAAATTCAAAGTCATTTGTAGTGAGGTCTGAAAAAGGGAGGGCTAGTGGTTAAAGACACGATTGCATGTTTGTTCCCCATAAGAGGGTCCAAAATGGCCTCTTTAGGCAAGACAAACAAAAGAACAACCCCGATCCATTCATGCCCAGTCAGAACTAACATGAAAGATATCAGAAAGTTTGGCTTGAAACTGCACTGTAGCTACAGACACAGTGAAAGACACTGACTTATGTTTGATTGTTTTTTTCAAAACTTTCACTGAAAAAATAGGCTTTCCATCAATAACACCTACAAGTGAATTGTCAAATATATAAATGTGGTTGTAATTACACTACTGACTACCATATATTTCTTGTGGAAGTCATTTTGGAAAATGGTGGATTTTGAGTTTTTTCTGTAAAATATTTCTTATTATGACAATATATACATTTGAAACCCCTCAATCCATCTAAAAAATCCATATTTTCTTATTAGAATGTGGATTCAAGCTGATGTTTATCACGAACACAGAAAATACTCGGTCGAGCACTGCGATATTCAGAATCCAGATGGGAGAGAGCTGCACAGGTTCTCTCCTCTAACAGAAACAGTATGAGAGGACCTTTATCCATTGCTTCTCACACAACCATTAGCATTAATTCTTTGGGGCACCAATAACAATGTTAGTGCTGAATGGTTTGTGCTTTCCAAATGGAAATATAGTTTTTACCACCGGTTTCTTCAATTCCAGAAAGTATCAAAGTTCGGGGGCTGATTATCTTTAGGACTGGGATGCTCTCCCTTGAAGTCCACAGCAAGTCTGGCTCTAAAGCTGGAGGTGCCACGCATCTCCTCATGGTACGCACAAATGGACGTAGAAACCCGACTATCAGATGGAGCTTCTGCGTTTGAGTCTTCGGTAAGTGTTGAGGTTGTGCAGGCCGGTGGACACTGAGCTGATGCCGGAATGGCGCTGCAGGCTGCACACGCAGCCATTGGAGTGGAGGGGGTTGGAGAACGCCTCCCCTTGCTCCATGTAGGTGTCTGAGGTGGAGAGGTCGCGTGGGATGATCATGGGGATGGAATACTGCAGCTTCTCTCTGCTCTTGTACCAAAGACAGGAGCACATGGACTGGAAGTGGAGCACCTCCGCATAAACGTTTCGCAGGCCGCGGCTCGCTGCTCCGTTGCTGCTCCCTCCGACTGCGCTCCCTCCGCCACACCCAGACGGCGAGGAGGAGGGAGAGACTGGGTCAACGGAGCAGTTGATGTGTCCACCTGCCTGACCGTTGTGGGCGAGAAGAGCCCTCTGCTCCGCGTCCCTCTTCTCGTCCTCCGCATTCATAGTCATGAATCGCAGCACCGCTAGGTTAAGGAAGGCTCCGATCACAGCCAGACCTGTCAGGATGTAGATGAAGCTGAAGGCAACATAGTCGAGCTTGTTCTGCAGGGCCTGTTCACTTTGCAACGCCACATAGTCCCCAAATCCGATGGTGGTGAGGGTGATGAAGCAGTAGTAGAAAGCATGGAAGAAGCTCCATCCCTCAAAGTGGGAGAAGGCCACTGCCCCCACACCTAATGTGCTCATGCAGGATATGAAACCAATGATCACCATGTTGACCATGGAGACCTCGGTGCGCCTCATTCCGAGGCACTTTTTCAGGCGGTGGAGCAGGATCCTGACAAAGGTGTTGATCCGCTCACCCACACTTTGAAACATAACTAAGGTGAGAGGGATGCCGAGGAGGGCGTACAGGATGCAGAAGGCCTTCCCTCTGTTTGTGCTGGGGGCTGCATGGCCATATCCTAAAGAGAAGAGGAACAAAGAGGTCAGATTACATGGCAAAACTTAATCAATGTGGCAGACAAGAGTCTAAGGCGAGGAGGCTAGAGGGAATGTCAAACCCGGGCTCAACAGATATAAATGATTCGTATTCTCAGTGCGGCTCTTCAGACAAATTCAAACACTCTTCAATTCGCAGTGGCAGAATGCAATTGGAGATGCGAATGCACAGTAGTGTGGAGGCAGGAAGGGCCAAGTATTGATATCATGTACAGGGGAGAGGGTTTGAATAATTCATTGACAATTGGTCTCTGCAGAGTGGCTTCATCTAATGAGTGCATTTGTGCCTAATTAGGACTCAACATCTCTCCAGATCAAATAAACAAGACACCAAAGGCTTGGTTGGAATAACAGCTCCGTATTTGTTTGTGTAAAAGAAAAAAGGAAAAATGAAAAATGGCCCCATACTGTTGGTATTTGATTGTAGTTGGTGCAGCATGTACTCCAGTGAGTCTTTTGAACAATTGCATCTTTTACACAAGTGTGAAAAAGGGTGATGAAGCAGCACATCTATGTTGCAGAATATGACACATCTAAGTTTTGGAAATACATTTTCCATGAATGTGTCCTTGTTAAACAAAATTTCTTACACTCGCTAACATGAAGTCTTTCTTAATTCGGGTATCAAAGCACTTTCAGATGTCGCCTGACTCATAAAGCAGTTTGTACTTAGTTATACTTTAAAATTGTCCTAGCCAGCAGGATTAAAGGAAAACATCGTTACTGCCTGAACTATTCTCCTCACCAATGGACCTGCTGTAAATTGGAGCTGAGAGAAGATGTTCCTGATAACAGGATTCACAAATGGAAGAGTTTGTTCAATAGTTTTAATGCAATTACTGCAGGGCTGATTTAATTCCTGCAGCTCTGGTTTTGTTGTCACTGATCTGTGCAGATGAGCCGTCTGTCCATGATGCCAAATCTGTTTATAGCTTTCCTAGCTCTTCCTCCAAAGCGTAAGCCATGATAGCTGATACAGCTCTTTGTGGAAAGAAAAACCTGATCTGTTCAGGTACCAAAACCAATTGCTTTATTGTGGCCTTATCTGTTTTTAATCTAAATCTTCTTTGCTTTAAAAAAAAAAAACTAACAAACTAACTGAACACAGAGAGATACATTTTCGGAAAATATTTTTAGATTGTCTTATTGACCGCTCAGAACACTGTTACACTACAAGCCACATTCTCACACCCACTCTCACACACACATTATTGAGAATTGGGGGGAAAGCCAGTCCATCCATTATAACTACTAGCTTGCCTTTTCTGATGCAGACACAGCTAATCTGAAATGCATAAGTCTACAGTATTTGCTCCCTCACGTTTCAGACAAGGTCTGTGAATATTTATGCTTCACTTTTTATGAATATATATTAAAATCATAGCTTTCTGGGTTAAAATTGCATTATGACTTCCATTTTAGAAGATGCAATTTAAAACACTCCTTTCCCCTGAATTCCAATCAGTGTATTACTCTCCCTTCCAACACAGTATGAGAAAATGTTATTAACCTCCAATTTGTATTTTCGAGCATTATGTGCACTGCTTTTACAGAAAAGTGCAAGATTTCAAGATTTCAGTTACAGAACATCCAAATAAGGTTGTTAATGCTAATCAAAAATCCAGTGTGGGGGTGAGCGGAACATTTTGTTCAGGTGAACAGAGAGACAATGCTGCAGGCCTGTCACGAGCTGTCTGCAGCGAGGAGCAGCTTATTGAGACATGGGGATGGCCGTGGTGACAGCGGTGCTCGTCAACAACAGACGACAGAGCCAGAGGCGACAGGGCAAGCAGTCCAAGCACGGTGTGGGGGAGTGAAAGGGCCCCAAATGACAAGCTCATCTTCCCACAGCCCTAACACTGACAATGCTATCAGGAGACAGGACGACTCCATTGCTTGTTCTTGCATACTGGAGAAGACACAAGGGCCTTTAGCTCCTTACTACATGGATTACAGTCACTGGCTGAGAAAAGTTGCACCTTCGACAAGAGCAACACTTAAAGCTCTGATGGGCCATAAGCCCCCATTACTAACATACCTTTTTTCATTGTAAAACTCTAATAATCTATGTATTAGCATAAACAATAAGAAAGTGAGACAACATGCTCCCTTGGTTTCCCCACTTGATGCCTCCCTCATAGTTCATTAACCTCTCTCTGCTCCTCCTGCATGGTTATCCAACATCAATACCCAACATTATGGGATCTTATTACCTTTGACGTCTTCTCATTTGTTGTTAGTTCAATACGGTCTTAAATCATGTAATCCACTGTGGGGAATTTGGGCGAAACCAAATGACATCATCATATATCTGACTGAGGGTTTGTTTGTGTATTTCAGGATATGAATTTGTATATTAATCAGTAAACTCCAACCATACCAGAGGAGCAGAAATAGAAACCTTTCATATTGATTATTAAATTGAAAGAAAAGCATTTATCAGCTGTACAGGTGTACAAACAGCTCAAATGAGGAAAAGGTTCAACATTAAATGTTTATCACCGCGATCTCTGAGCTTAGCTTGCAGCCTATTATTTTAGTCATCTTACCTTATCATCATGCTGTAATCAAGGATGCTCCATTACAAAATGCACTCGAGCGTCCCCCTTTGCTTCACTTGTGATGGGGTTTCAAGCTGCTCAGTGAAACAATGGACTGCTACTGTGCAAGCAACCAGTGTGTATCACTGACGTGCACACTGCTGTACACAGTGCGTGAGGTATTGAAAAGACTATTAGATATCTCATTACAGTGTCTGGAACAAGTAGCCTCCTTGTATTCGTTGTAGAATACAAAGTATGTTGTCTAAGTGTGTTGTACGTACTTTATTTACTACAACTCTGTGTATTCACATTGTGTGTGTGTGTATACATGTGTATAGATATATACAGGGGTTGGACAATGAAACTGAAACACCTCTCAATTTAGTGTGGGAGGTTTCATGGCTAAATTGGACCAGCCTGGTGGCCAATCTTCATTAATTGCACATTGAACCAACAAGAGCAGACTGTAAAGGTCCAATTAGCATGGAAGGAGCACAGTTTTGCTCAAAATATTGCAATGCACACAGCATTATGGGTGACATACCAGAGTTAAAAAAAGGACAAATTGTTGGTGCACGTCTTGCTGGCGCATCTGTGACCAAGACAGCAAGTCTTTGTGATGTATCAAGAGCCACGGTATCCAGGGTAATGTTAGCATACTACCAAGAAGGACGAACCACATCCAACAGGATTACCTGTGGACGCAAGAGGAAGCTGTCTGAAAGGGATGTTCGGGTGCTAACCCGGATTGTATCCAAAAAACATAAAACCACGGCTGCCCAAATCACAGCAGAATTAAATGTGCACCTCAGCTCTCCTGTTTCCACCAAAACTGTCCGTCAGGAGCTCCACAGGGTCAATATACACGGCCGGGCTGCTATAGCCAAACCTTCGGTCACTCGTGCCAATGCCAAACGTCGATTTCAATGGTGCAAGGAGTGCAAATCTTGGTATGTGGACAATGTGAAACATGTATTGTTCTCTGATGAGTCCGCCTTTACTGTTTTCCCCACATCCGGGAGAGTTACGGTGTGGAGAAGCCCCAAAGAAGCCTACCACCCAGACTGTTGCATGCCCAGAGTGAAGCATGGGGGTGGATCAGTGATGGTTTGGGCCGCCATATCATGGCATTCCCTTGGCCCCATACTTGTGCTAGATGGGCGCGTCACTGCCAAGGACTACCGAACCATTCTGGAGGGCCATGTGCATCCAATGGTTCAAACACTGTATCCTGAAGGAGGTGCCGTGTATCAGGATGACAATGCACCAATACACACAGCAAGACTGGTGAAAGATTGGTTTGATGAACATGAAAGTGAAGTTGAACATCTCCCATGGCCTGTACAGTCACCAGATCTAAATATTATTGAGCCACTTTGGGGTGTTTTGGAGGAGCGAGTCAGGAAACGTTTTCCTCCACCAGCATCACGTCATGACCTGGCCACTATCCTGCAAGAAGAATGGCTTAAAATCCCTCTGACCACTGTGCAGGACTTGTATATGTCATTCCCAAGACAAATTAATTCTGTATTGGCCGCAAAAGGAGGCCCTACACCATACTAATGAAGTATTGTGGTCCAAAACCAGGTGTTTCAGTTTCATTGTCCAATCCCTGTATATATATGTGTGTGTGCATATGACCCTAAATAACCCCAGATTGGAGATGGAACATTAACAGTGTATATGTTTGGTTTCAAAACAGCAGTATCATTATGAGGGAATGACCACAACTAATTGCAGATAATTCATGCCCATATGGGGGGAAACAGAGGGGAGACATCTGTGAAAATACAGGCTATCAGCTATCTAAAATGAGCTCGGATTCTCAATTTGTGCTGTGAATCAAAGACTTCTGTTTTTATCAAAGACTTTTGTTGCTCCCTGAGGCTGGTTGTCTCCTAACCTAATTTCCGCAATTATCATTTGAAAGAAAATATAAAAATTGCATAACACTGAAAGGAGATAAGAGCCTTTAAAAGACTTATTAGGCAAAACCAACAGGCAAGGAGGCTTCAGCAGAACACAGGTGCACCATCCTCCAAATTCACATTCCCTCCTCACTCCTGCCTCTAATTAAGGAATCTAAATTCTACTCGTTTGAGTTAATGCTTATAGAAGCTGGCTTGTTCATTAAGAGAGCACAATACATATTATTTTACATTCCTTAATGATAGCTGTGGCCTTGTGAAATTTTGCCAACCTTCTAAGATGGAGAGATTTAATTTCAAGAATTTAATCCAGGTCTGTTGGATATTTTTACCTTCTCGCTCATTTCGTAATTTTTAATCCTTTCATATTAATTTTAGCAAAAGGTTGCACAGTTTAATTCTGTTCTGAGTAACCCTCAATCAGGTTTCCTAAATTAAATGTCTGATATCTTCTAGCTCAGGCTGTGGCTGTGGTGAAACAAATGTATTCGTTGTTGTCATTTTGTCTTTTTGTGCTCCAATAGCTAGTTTGTTCCCAAACATGACAGCTATGTGTGTACACTTCCCTCCCCTGCGTGTCTGGCTCTAGAGCGCAGCACCACCCACAATGCCCAGTGCATCTCAAGTCTCCATTACACTGATTAATTATGCTGGGATAAAACGGGCTTTGAAAATACATCAAAGAATGTCATAATGTAGCTCCTACAGCTCCAGTTCTCTGTCACTCAATTAAAATTTCATTGATTACAAGGTACAATTTGTTCCCATCAAACAAGATGAGGGGCCAGAGACCAGTTTGTCAAGCACAAGAGGGGAATGTCTGTAGCGGACTCGGTGCATTAACGAGGAGCATTTATTGTTTACATCATCAGCAATTTGCTGCAGAGAAGCGAAAACCAAATAATAGATGTGAGATTACAGGTTTCTACAAATACAGCAAACAAATCCCAACAGTGTACAACATGCTGCAGACTCCTGAAAAGAAATGCTGGTGAAAGCATGGTTCTTATTGGGCTTGAAGAATAATATCCTCAGACATCACCGACAGGCATCCGGTGGTTCCAGTGTTATTGTGCACACAGTGTTCCTGGGTGCATGTTGTACAGTTTCAGTCAGAAACCAGAGGAAAAGGTAAACAAGTCACCTGCTGAGGGATGCTTTCTTCCTGTCATTATGATTAAGTTCTGTTTTAGAGGGACTGAAGAGGACAGGTTTTTATCCTTCTGGAGCTCAAACTGAGCTATCAGCAGCTGTTCTGTACCACATCTGAATTCCATCTTGATACATAGTCTATTTGAAGTTGAATTTATTGTGATGTGTTAAAGTAACTAACAATAAGTTATGGCTTTATGATTTCTACAAGTATCATTACAAACCAGACAGTGGCTGAAAATGGAAAACTATACAAAAGAAAATGAAACTACATCCTGTCAAATGCGCTTCATATTTGTGATTTACAAACTGAATCTACGGCATTTCCAGTTACTGTGTTTGGAGAATTCTTACATCATACAGCTCATGGTTTTCCTGTTACAACAGCAACATGTTGGCTATAGTTCAATCTTGCCACAGTTTTTGGAACCCGGACTACCATAAGCCAGCCAGTCAGCCTCTGTAAGCAACATCCCACATCTGTCAACCTCCAGTGTTGGCGGAGAACAGCCAAATATTGCCTAGTAAATATCCAGTTAATGGACTTTTGCTCTGTGGACAGGGTTGATTGTTAATATGAAGCCGAAAAAAATACTGCTGGGTCAACTCTTGTAACTTCACAGACATAAATAAAGAAAAATCAGATGGAGAGATTACTTTCCACTACATGAGCTACAGTGTTGGGGAGTAACGGATTACATGTAACGACGTTACGTAATTTAATTACAAAAAAAGAGTAACTGTAATTCGTTACAGTTACAGTGAGAAAATATGTAATTGAGTTACAGTTACTTCCGAAAATATTAAGAATTACAAATTTAGTTATATTTTGCAAAATATGCAACTCACTGATAGACGAAGCGTATTGATTTACTAATATTTGACTGTTTGGTGTTGATGCATGACAAACATTTATCGATGTCTATGACCTAGCCTAGCCTAGCCTAGCCTACCCAACTCCTCTTTTTCCCGGACATGTCCTACATCTCAGACTAGGGTTGTCAAAAGTATCAATACTTAAGAAAGTATAGATACTAAAATGTTGTATCCGGATACGACTGACCTGCCGTCGCTGCCCCCCTTCTCTCCGATTTATTTATGTATTTATTTACGTTGTTTATGATCATTAACAAGACGTTAGCCTTGAACTGCTAGCTGCGGCCAATAGCTAATAATAACATGCTAAAATTAATCATGGTTTAATACTCATTAAAACCTTAAAGTAATCAAAAAGTAATCAAAAGTAATTAGTTACATTACTTTTTAAAAGTAATCGAAAAAGTTACACTACAATTACATTTTAAACAAGGTAACTTGTAACTGTACGGATTACATTTTTAAAGTAACTTACCCAACACTGATGAGCTATAATAAGTATAAAAGACTTCGACATTTGATACATGAAATGCAAACACTTAAAGCTTT